CTCGAGAATGTGATCAGAGATGCCGTCACTTATACAGAGCACGCGAAGAGGAAGACCGTCACCGCTATGGATGTGGTCTACGCTCTCAAACGCCAGGGACGCACTCTTTACGGCTTCGGCGGTTAAAGTGTCTCATCATTTGGCCATCCATTCAACCAAACGGCCCTTTTTAGGGCCAACACATCACTGATTTAGAGGATCACTCATTTTAATTGCCATTCATTTGTGTTTTTTATTTTCAAATAAATTTATATTCATTTCAATTGAAACTAATTTTTGTATTTTATTGATCTCTGTTTACATGAAATGTGATGTCTTGTCACACCATTCCTCCACTTCTAAGTGTCAGTAATTGGTATTCATTTCCATAATCTGTGGTTTAATTATATGACAGCTTTAGTCATGTAATCATAATCTCTTCGGCCCATAGTTTAAGTCATTTATATTGAATTCAATTGAGTTTTGCAGCCATTTCTTAATTATTGCGCTTAATTACAAGTTTTCTTTCAATACTGTATTCACTTTAATTGCAAACATTTAATTGTCTATTACTTCACATTTTAATCATTCAATTGTAAAACTTTTACTAAAATATAATTTAAAGTTTATTTAAAATTATAAAAATACTGTAAAACACGAGTCATTTGATTGTGATTTCGATCTCTTTTTATTGAACGGCTTTTAGCCATAAATCAAACCCTTTTTAAATCAATGCTTTACTAATTGTTTATTATTAATAAATGTATTTTCCTGTAAACTAAATGTAAATTAATGTAAAACTTTTACTATAAATAAAATGTTTAATTAAACTAATTATTTAACATTTATTTCAAATTATGAAAATCCTGTAAACGAGCGCTCATTTGATTGGTTCACATATTCTGTGATTTCGATCCCTTCTTATTGAATGCTTTCAAATGAAAGGACTATTCGTTGGAAAACACATTACAAATGATATCTCAAAAAGTGAGCGAAATTTAAATGAAAATTAGCGCCAATTTATACACCATTTGTACAAAACATGAATTAAACCACAAATTGTAAAACAAAAGCAAATTTTGGGAAAAACTGTATTTAGAAACCAATTGTAGAGTAAAACTCATGAACTAATACTTCAAATGAATACTAAATTCAGTAAACATTTAAGATTTACGTCAGAAAATGTGTATAAATTAACACAAATATCACGTTTTAATTTGCAATTAAATTACTAAATAATTAAAAATAGACTTCAAGTGAACACAAGTATAAGATTTAAAAATTGACATTTAATGATAAAAAGTATAAATTATGAAATGAATGACAAGTGAAGGCATATAACAATTGAGACACAAGTGATCAATGGTATGGTTTGGCCCTAAAAAGGGCCGTTTGTTGTGATGGCCTTTGAGTGGACTTAAGCTCTCTCTCCACGTATACGACGGGCCAATTGGATGTCTTTCGGCATAATTGTCACTCTCTTGGCGTGAATGGCGCACAGATTCGTGTCCTCGAAGAGACCGACCAAATAAGCCTCAGATGCCTAACAAAGAGTCAAAACATGAGTATTGTTTGCAAACAACTGAATGTCAATCAATACAAACCTCCTGCAGAGCCATAACGGCTGAAGACTGGAATCGGAGGTCAGTCTTGAAGTCCTGAGCGATCTCTCGGACCAATCGCTGGAACGGAAGCTTTCGGATCAACAGTTCAGTGGACTTCTGGTAACGACGGATCTCTCGGAGGGCAACGGTTCCGGGCCTATAACGATGCGGTTTCTTCACGCCTCCGGTGGCCGGCGCCGACTTTCGGGCGGCTTTAGTGGCCAACTGTTTTCGGGGGGCTTTACCTCCGGTCGACTTACGAGCGGTTTGTTTGGTTCGCGCCATCACTTCAACCAAATTGTCTTCAGATATGAATTTGAATACAAAATAAGCAAAACTTTGTGTGAAATGAGCGCTCAATTCATCGCCTTTTATACGGTTTCCACTCAAATGTAGGCGTGTTTTGAGTCCACACAGAGTTAGTCACAGATAGAACTCATTTGATTGGTTCACACGATCTGTGCTTTCGATCCCTTCCTATTGAACATTCAATTCAAATGTACAGCAATTAAGCACTGGTTTTAGCCTTAAATCAAAAACTTTATTACTTATGAATGCATACAATATTTGGACAAATATTCAATCAATTTATTGAAAATCTCACAAAATATCAGAAAAAAGCGTATTATTAATAAGTTATGAATGAATTAAAAAAGTATTTAAATTTAGTCAAAGGCTTTGACTCAAAGCCTTATAAATGAGAATTTCTTGAAGTTTCAAAAATTGTATAAAACATGATATAATGAAAACTAATGAGACTTTTGGTAGTTATGTAATAATTAAATTAAATTCAATACAAATTCACACATTTGACAAAACAATACATACGGTAGAAATGAAACTCAAAATAAACTATTAAATGTAATGTCATTTATTAAATTTTATGAATAAAAACGAGTGCAAAACTTAATGATATTTAAATATAATAGTAATCTTTAGTTACAATTAGTGAGCCCTTAATAATTGAATTTCGGAAAAAATTGTCGAAAATCATCGGTAAATAAAACAGCGATAAAATTTAACAAAAATCAGTTTATTAATGAAATGTTTGGCAAAATGATAACAAGTGATCCTTAAAGTCATTGTATGGTTTGGCCCTAAAAAGGGCCGTTTGTAGACATCTGGTGATGAATTTATGCCTTCTTCTGCCAGAAGAACCCGTCTTCCTGCCGGACTTACAACCCGTCTTGCGGAGGGACTCGCTACCAGTGTGGGCTGTTGTCAAACAAGTTGAGGAGCAGCAATGCTTACCGGTCAACATTCACAGCCCCTTAAATACGGGTCTTCTTGTTATCGCGGGCGGCATTGCCGGCCAACTCGAGCACCTCAGCCGCCAAGTACTCCAACACTGCGGCCAAATACACGGGAGCGCCCGCACCCACGCGCTCAGCTGTCGGGGAATAATACGGGTCTTCTTGTTATCGCGGGCGGCATTGCCGGCCAACTCGAGCACCTCAGCCGCCAAGTACTCCAACACTGCGGCCAAATACACGGGAGCGCCCGCACCCACGCGCTCAGCGAAGTTGCCTATCGATCGAGACATAAGTGTTTAGTTTGGGATCAGATGACAGACAATGTGTGAGACATACCTTTGCGAAGGAGACGATGGATACGTCCGACGGGGAACTGCAGACCAGCTCTCGAGGACCTCGACTTTGCTTTCGACTTCACTTTACCTCCTTTTCCTCTTCCAGACATTGTTTGCGAGATTTGATACAAAGTATTGACCGAAAGAAAAATATGAAAGTTTTCAAAAACTTTTTGATAACGAGTTTAGCGGCAAAACCTATCCTTATATACCCTAACATTGCATTCACTGACAACTCGTCAGCCAATCACAGCGTTTTGCGCGCTTTGAGGCGAACGTAAGCGTAGACTCATTGGTGTTGCGATTGGTCTGTGATTTGGACACCAGTTTGTGATTGGTTTGTGGTTTCGACACCAGTTTAGGGGTATATAAGGGGAAAGCGTTTGCAGTTTTGGTGTCGGGGAATAATACGGGTCTTCTTGTTATCGCGGGCGGCATTGCCGGCCAACTCGAGCACCTCAGCCGCCAAGTACTCCAACACTGCGGCCAAATACACGGGAGCGCCCGCACCCACGCGCTCAGCAAAGTTACCTATCAATCAAGACATAAGTGTTTTAGTTTTGGGATCAGATAAGACAGACAATGTGTTAAGACATACCTTTGCGAAGGAGACGATGGATACGTCCGACGGGGAACTGCAGACCAGCTCTCGAGGACCTCGACTTTGCTTTCGACTTCACTTTACCTCCTTTTCCGCGACCAGACATTGTTTGCGAGATTTGATACAAAGTATTGACGAAAGAAATGAATGAAAGTTTTGACAACTTTTTGATAACGAGTTTAGCGGCAAAACCTATCCTTATATACCCTAACATTGCATTCACTGACAACTCGTCAGCCAATCACAGCGTTTTGCGCGCTTACTCCGCTTGCATTCGCATCTGAGTAACCACAACGCTAACCAGACACTAAACCTGTGGTCAAACACTAACCAAACACCAAAGCTGTGGTCAAACTCCCATATATTCCCCTTTCGCAAACGTCAAAACCCTCAAACTTTGTTTTGTCCCAATTGTCAGTTGGTCATTAGTGAAGTTGTGAAGGTTACGGAGGCGTTGGCTCACCATTTCGGCACTTCTTCCGGCCTTTCCGAGTCTTCCGGCAGTCTCGGCCGCTATTCTTCTTTGTGGCGTTCTTCTCCTTCCTGTCGTTCAGTATCTATATCTATAAGGTATGTCTCCCTCTCGTTGACCACTATTGGCGCTTAAACTGATCCCATTGTCTTTGTGTCCATCAGGTGCTGAAGCAGGTCCACCCCGACACCGGTATCTCCTCGAAAGCCATGTCAATCATGAACTCCTTCGTGAACGACATCTTCGAGCGCATCGCTAACGAGGCCTCACGTCTGGCCCACTATAACAAGCGCTCGACCATCACTTCCCGGGAGATCCAGACCGCTGTCCGCCTAACCAGTAATCACTTCAACACTTCCAATGCCTCCGCAACCGAGTGGTAAAGCCGTGAAGAAGGCCGGAAAGGCTCAGAAGGCCGTCAGAGCCGGCGATAAGAAGAAACACCGCAAGAAGAGGAAGGAATCCTTCAGTATCTATATCTATAAGGTATGTCTCCCTCTCGTTGACCACTATTGGCGCCTAAACTGATCCCATTGTCTGTTTGTGTCCATCAGGTGCTGAAACAGGTCCACCCCGACACCGGTATCTCCTCGAAGGCCATGTCAATCATGAACTCCTTCGTGAACGACATCTTCGAGCGCATCGCTAACGAGGCCTCACGTCTGGCGCACTATAACAAGCGCTCGACCATCACTTCCCGGGAGATCCAGACCGCTGTCCGCCTCCTATTGCCGGGAGAGTTGGCCAAACACGCCGTCTCTGAGGGCACCAAAGCTGTCACCAAATATACTTCCAGCAAATAAGTGACCATCACTTGACACCAAACGGCCCTTTTTAGGGCCAACACATCCCTGACCTCAAGGATCAGATAACACGCCGTCTCTGAGGGCACCAAAGCTGTCACCAAATATACTTCCAGCAAATAAGTGACCATCACTTGACACCAAACGGCCCTTTTTAGGGCCAACACATCCCTGGCCTCAAGGATCAGACTTTCATTGCCTTTTTTACTTAATACTCATTTTTATTAATTTTTTGAAATAAATTCATCATTTTTAAGTAAATGCTGTTATTTTATATTTACTACATATTAGTGATTGTTTTGAATGAATACTCATTAGTCGCTATAATCAATGCATTTATTATGCAATTAAACTTTCTATAAATATGTGATGCAATCGATTGCATATAAAACGCGACATTTATTAGATCCCTGTTTGAGAAAGAGTCGATCATTTCAATCGCCAATCAATCCTTTAATCCTCACTTTTCTGGACGTTATTTACGGTTGAATTGAATGTTAAGTTTGTATTTAGTGTGAGATTTGATGAATTGAACGAAACATGGATTTAAATGAATTGTTTAAGAGTTGCAAAACAGGAGATCTGAATCGTGTTAAGTATGCGTTCAATAATGTAGACAATGAACGGCTCATTCACTGAACAGTAATTGTATTGAAATGATAGGCAATTAGTGGATCAGAAGGACGTGGAGCTGAATGTGAGGGACAGATGGGACTCGACTCCCCTGTACTACGCGTGTCTGTGCGGACACATCAATATTGTCCGATATTTGCTTAAATCAGGTATGAATTGAGATATCGTTATGACTGACCACTGGTTGTGACACTTATGGTATGGTTAGGCGCCAGATGTGAGGCCAACACGTTTGACGGCGAGCGGTGTGTCTACGGGTCGCTCACACCTGAGATCAGGAACATCTTGGTTAAGGACTATGTGGTGATCACATCGAAGATCATTCAACGGAACTATTACGACGAGTTCTTAAGGAAGTATTGACTTTCACTGCTATTAATTGCTTTGCACTCATAATCGTGTCCTTTAATGACCAGATGTATCGGAAACGGAGATTATTTTGATGTGATTTTCTCAGTGCATAACCAAATCTTTAAAGTCCATCGTTCAGTGCTTTCCGTTTCGTGCGATTATTTCAATGATATGTTTGCAAACAAATGGAAAAATAGGAAAATTATTTTGGTTGAATTGAATGTTAAGTTTGTATTTAGTGTGAGATTTGATGAATTGAACGAAACATGGATTTAAATGAATTGTTTAAGAGTTGCAAAACAGGAGATCTGAATCGTGTTAAGTATGCGTTCAATAGTATAGACAACGAACGGCTCATTCACTAAACAGTAATTGTATTGAAATGATAGGCAATTAGTGGATCAGAAGGACGTGGAGCTGAATGTGAGGGACAGATGGGACTCGACTCCCCTGTACTACGCCTGTCTGTGCGGACACATCAATATTGTCCGATATTTGCTTAAATCAGGTATGAATTGAAATATCGTTATGACTGACCACTGGTTGTGACACTTATGGTATGGTTAGGCGCCAGATGTGAAGCCAATACGTTTGACGGCGAGCGGTGTGTCTACGGGTCGCTCACACCTGAGATCAGGAACATCTTGGTTAAGGACTATGTGGTGATCACATCAAAGATCATTCAACGGAACTATTACGACGAGTTCTTAAGGAAGTATTGACTTTCACTGTTATTAATTGCTTTGCACTCATAATCGTGTCCTTTAATGACCAGATGTGTCGGAAACGGGGATTATTTTGATGTGATTTTCTCAGTGCATAACCAAATCTTTAAAGTCCATCGTTCAGTGCTTTCCGTTTCGTGCGATTATTTCAATGATATGTTTGCAAACAAATGGAAAAATAGGAAAATTATTTCCATTAATAACTCGAAAGTATTGTTCAAATTAGTTTTAGATTCAATTAATGCTTGACTTAATAATCACAATTTTAGGTGAATCCTATGGCATTCAAACTACTTCTTGTCTACATATATACGGGTCGTCTTGAAGTTGGTCTCAATTTGATAGAAGACATTAAACTTGTTGTAAAACAATGCAAACTCTATCGACTGTTGAACAAATCGATGATTCTGTCAAACGAGTTAAATCGTTCGGTTTGTTTGACTTTAGCTTTAATATAATATAACTTTTTTCAATTCAATGATTAACTGTCTTAAAAGAGTGTACAAAACCGGGAACTAATGTCAATACAATACAAGTGGATTCAGAGACCCATTCATTGGACTTTAATATGCTTTACTTGAAGTGTATTCCAAATGAATTTCACTTCTGGATCGACGGCTCAGAACTTCCATTCCTTAGCCGTTATTATTCTTCTCATCACTTCTTTGACATCTATTTCAAAGTTGAGGACAAACTATTCAAATGCCATAAAGTATTCTATATTTATTTATTTATAATTGAATTTATTATTTAATAAAATACATTCATTCCTTAAGGCATTCTTTTGCGGTCGAAGTGATTATTTTAAAGCTTTATTAAACGACCACTTCTTTGAGGCTCAAAATCAAATCAATGGCATTCAAGTGTTTGAATTGCATGACATTAGTCTCAACACATTTACAGCCATAGTCTCTTACATTTATCAAGATTGTGTTCAGGTCTGATATACTTACGTTATACATTACAAACCCGTTAATTGTATAATACATGTGTACTTTGAACTAACTTTTAATTGACTATAAAGTTGAACGATTCGGAGACAGCATTTGAAGTGATGGTTATGTCTGACTTGTATTTATTGCCCGGTTTGAAGAAACAATGCGCTAATTATATCGGACAACATCTGACCGCTAGTAATATTATATCCGTTTTATTGACCTCTCGTTTAATGCAATTGACAAAACTTGAAGGCATTTGCACTGAATTTATGGCACAGAATCTGGAAAAAGTATTTTTTATTAAAATATTTTACTTTTCATTTATAATTAATTATTAATATTTAAACAAAATATAGATAATAGAGAGCAAAGAATTCACACAATTAATTATAGCCGACGCAAAGGTTTGTGAACTAATGAACTGAACACTGATTTGTCATTGAATTGACTATAATTTTTGTTGATGTTTGCATAGGAGGTGAAGGAAAGACAAGAAACCGATTCAATAGATATAATCGATGACATCCGATATCACATCACGAGTAATGTGCAGACATTCTCAGCCATGTCTGAAGCCAATGATAGGTTGCAAATGATTGACAATTTGCTGGAAACCCTCGGTTTAGACGCTTAACACAATTAGAGCTGCATTTATATTAATTCGTTTTCTTTATTCTTAACTATTTTATTAAATTAATTATTTGTGTTTAAGTTTTTGTTGAGAATTTAATAAATGATATATAAATTGATAATTTAATGATAATTAGAATCCAATTGATTCTCATTGTTAACGATTCCGTGGTTTCAAAGACATGTTGACGTACTTTACGTTATGAACGAAATACCTGTCAATTATTTGTTGAGTCAAAACATAAACATTGATTTAATACACGATTTATAAACTTTAATACATTTAGACATTAATATTGAGTGACATTTTGTTTGGAGACATCCGGAGAGTTGTTGAAGACATGGATCAGATATATTCGGTGTTTCGGCACAATTACAGCGCAAACAATGGCTTTTCTGAAAGGTTTGATCAATGAATTGATTGTATGATTGAATTAATATCTAAATTGTATTATTATATGTAAAGTGTGTCACAATTGAGTCCATTGTGTTGTATATCGAGCGGTAATTTAATGGCCTTCACGTCGACCACCGATTTGAATGACTCGAGCGCTAAATGGTTTGCTTTCCACGTGTTTGTCGTCGATCTCAACATACCTTACAATCCATTCAAGTATTGATTAAACAATTTGTAAATGAATTTATTTTAATTGACAAATGGATTGAATACAGAGTGAGCTCTCATTTGGAAGAGATTACGGCTCTTGAGTGGGATATAAGCGGAACAAAGCTCTTGATCGGCGATTTGGTGGGCAATATAGAGTTGTGGTCAATGAGGGAATACTTGTTGAGCGACTGGTATTTAGTAGACGTCCATCACTTCTCTGGAGAGCGCATATTGTCTGCCATTTGGTTTCACAACGGAATCAAGATTGGCATCAATAACGATAAGAAGGACACGAATGTGTCATATCTGGAGAAATACACGCACACGAAGTTCGCCGCTTCTGTCCGACAGTTTGGAGGCAAACCCACCGAAGGATATCTCGCTATTTCCAGCTCTGGACTCGTTTGCTGTTCACTCTTCCTATCGGACGGCACTGTAGTGTCGGGAATGGAAATTTTGGGTCAATTTAGGACTAAACTTAAACGCGTGGACGTCTGCTATGCGAAGAACGGAGACTTTTTAGTGGTGACCACTAATGGATGCGTCGATTCTTCTATCAATTGTTATGGAGTGACGGTTAAAGTGAATGTCGGCTGTAATTCACAAGAGAAACAGAAATGTTTGATCACATGTCAGGCCTATACCAGCTTTTATATGAGTTGTTCTAAAGCTCTCACATCTGAAGCTTATCGGTCTGTAACTCATCTCAAGTTTGTTTTGCGCGAAGCGGCCGAAGCAGTAGTGATCGCCGCGTCCGGTATATCGGGCTCTACTGTCGAGTTATGGGAATTAAGAGAAAAACCAGTTTCAATACATAAGATGTTTCAAACAAAAAACAATTCAAATATTGATTTGAATACCGGTGCCAGCGTTGGACCCAAGACTGTTGTCTGGCAGCACAACACCAGTTCCAACTCATCAGTGAATGTGGTTTCAATTGCAACGCCGAGACTGTCATTGTTTGATACGAGTCCTCCGCCCTCTTATATATTGGTTGCTTTTAAGGACAATACAATCAAATGCTTTTATAGAGAGAACTTGCAGTTAATATGTAGCGTTGGATTGGGAACCACTCAGAGCCGCACCGTTGACACTAACAAAACGTTTGGTATGCAGAAGATGTCCACATCTATGCCCACAATCACATCAATAGCAGATATGCAGTTCACATGGAGTAGTTGCGCAATGGTTGCCATCGACTCTCTTTCACAGATCTATTTGTATAAACTGTCGCCAATTACAGACCCGGGCGGACACATGAGTGCCAATTACGCGCAGACAATGCTTGAGTACTGTTTAGTATCTGGTAATGATTGGTGGGATGTGATCATTGGCTTACGACCCAATCTTATCGATAGTGTTTGTGAGAAAATTACCGAAACTTTTATGAATAAACAGCAGTTGGAGTTACAGCAGAAATGGTTGAGTCGTTTTCTCACAAT